TCCACTCCCTCCCTGATCAGTTTCTTTTCCTCCCGCTGGTGAGCTGGGGTGGGGGAAGGGCTCCGTCACCCTGTTTGGTGAGGTCTGCTCTTTTCTCCAGGTGTGTGCAGTCTCACACTGTCCTCTTTCCTGTTGCTCTCTCAGGATTAGTTGTGCCTATTAAATTTTCTAATTGTATCCAGTTTTAGGAGGAAGCCTCTGTCTCTCCTCTCACGCTGCCATCTTTTATGCTAAGCTTTTTATTTGCATGAAAACCTTCTGAGTTACATCTTTGTGTCATTAATTCTACTGTTTAGATGAGGAAGCTGAGACTTAGGTAAATAACTAGCCAAAGTCACATAGCTCACTGGTGGGAGTATAAAGCACATAGTGATCCTGTCTCTTAATGTCATTTCTTTATGCCACATTAACCTTCTACTTTTTCCTTCTTTCCTCCTTCCCTCTCTCCCTTGCTTCTTACTTACTACCTATCTCTAATTCTCTACATACACATACGCATTCATATACACACACAAACACACATTTATATAAATGTGTTGAGAATGAGGCAGGAAAACACACACATTTAAATGGGTGTGTCAGGAATGAGGCAGAGATAAAAAGGAAATGAAAAGTAATGAAAGATATATGTCGGTTTTCCATGAGAATGTTGTCTCTTCTAGGGAGAGAGAAATGTTGATACAAGTAAACAGAACATTTCTAGAGGCATCAAGAATCTCTAGTAGAGACATAATATTAATACTCCTGATTTTCAATAGTCTTATACACCCAAATCTCCATGAGCTCTGATCCATCCAAATCTCCAGCCACAATTTGGGAGAGAACAAGAGTGTGATTGACAGTCACATTGTGAGCACCCAGAATGAACTGCTGCTTCCCTCTCCCTAATCCTTTCAAGTCAATGGGCATTTTTCATTCTTCATGTACTGGATATAACCAAAGTCTGTCTTCCAGAGGAAGTTGGAGTGAAGAGAAGAGAATTTATGTATTTGGGGAGGGGCAGAGAGGTAGTTATCATGCTAGAAACCAAAACTTTCTTAAATTGAAGATAATCACTATAACAAAAAACATGTCACATTTTGCACATATGCATAACTTCCTAAAATAGATCTTCACTGACTTAGAATCTTAAATGCTTAAGCTTAATTATAATGTGAGTTAGAAACTTCCTTTGCCCTCCCATCTTAGGAAACTTGCTAAAAAAAATTAGTCAGCTCCTTGATCTAGAGAAGTAACCTGTATTCCTATATTTTATTGCCTTCCACTGACAACTCAGTCAGGGGTCAGAAACTGGTTGAGGATCTTATTAAAATTTAAGACAACCATCAGTTTCCCTTTTGTCCCAAAGAAAATGAGAATTGGACACATAATTACATCCAATTGAGGGTTAAGCTAGGATCAAAGTTTCCAATTCTTTGGATGCACACATCATTGCACTGATTCCCCTCAGCATGCAATATACATTAATACACATTAAATTGAAACCAACATGAGAACTGACATGGAAAATATGTGGTATTTAATGCCAGGAATATTTAAAAATGTGAAAGTTCAACAACACACTTGAGGGAAAATGAGATTCTTTATGAAGAGACTTTTTAAAATTAAGCAATGCTTTTTAGTTCTTATACACCCAAATCTCCATGAGCTCTGATCCATCCAAATCTCCAGCCACAATTTGGGAGAGAACAAGAGTGTGATTGACAGTCACATTGTGAGCACCCAGAATGAACTGCTGCTTCCCTCTCCCTAATCCTTTCAAGTCAATGGGCATTTTTCATTCTTCATGTACTGGATATAACCAAAGTCTGTCTTCCAGAGGAAGTTGGAGTGAAGAGAAGAGAATTTATGTATTTGGGGAGGGGCAGAGAGGTAGTTATCATGCTAGAAACCAAAACTTTCTTAAATTGAAGATAATCACTATAACAAAAAACATGTCACATTTTGCACATATGCATAACTTCCTAAAATAGATCTTCACTGACTTAGAATCTTAAATGCTTAAGCTTAATTATAATGTGAGTTGGAAACTTCCTTTGCCCTCCCATCTTAGGAAACTTGCTAAAAAAAATTAGTCAGCTCCTTGATCTAGAGAAGTAACCTGTATTCCTATATTTTATTGCCTTCCACTGACAACTCAGTCAGGGGTCAGAAACTGGTTGAGGATCTTATTAAAATTTAAGACAACCATCAGTTTCCCTTTTGTCCCAAAGAAAATGAGAATTGGACACATAATTACATCCAATTGAGGGTTAAGCTAGGATCAAAGTTTCCAATTCTTTGGATGCACACATCATTGCACTGATTCCCCTCAGCATGCAATATACATTAATACACATTAAATTGAAACCAACATGAGAACTGACATGGAAAATATGTGGTATTTAATGCCAGGAATATTTAAAAATGTGAAAGTTCAACAACACACTTGAGGGAAAATGAGATTCTTTATGAAGAGACTTTTTAAAATTAAGCAATGCTTTTTAGTCAGAAAACTAAAATTTAACCGGCAAGTCATATTTAAAAGAAAGGTTGTTCAACCATGGGTTGGCAGATAAATTTCAGACTTTCTCTGATCATAAGGAGTGAGTTGATTATGAATTACCAAATTAACTGAACATGCAATTCAAAAAATAATCAAAGTTTGTTGTTTTTATTGCTGTTGTTTTACCTGGTTGCCAAAGAGGTTGAATCCATTAATTGCTTCTAGAGCTGCTTTTGCTAAGCCAACAGAGCTAAAAGAGAAAAGGAAATAGTTTATAACTCATATATCTGGTTGCAAAATAAGAACCATTATCTGATGAATATTCACAAGCAAGTTTATTAACACTTACAATGACTTCCATCATAAAAATTATATCTAAAAGATTTCAGTCTTCTGGGAAAAATATTTCTAAGTTCACCTTGATCTAGACAAATGGTCTTACTACTGAAGGAAGTAGTTTTAATTCCAGTATCATTTCTATTCACTAAGTCAAAAAAAAAAAAAGATGAACTTTAGAGGAAGGTGTGATGATATGAACACAGTAATAACCAGGCTGGGCATCATTAGTTAAGATCAATTTAACAGAGCTTTTCTGACATCAATTGTGAACCTTAAAAAAGATTTTGCATGTCGTACACCAATCAGAGTGTAGTTTAATATACCCATCCACATACTCTTTGCTCAGAGTCCAATAAATAGGAATTACTTTATGTTCACAGAACTGATCACCATACCTCTCATTTTTTGTTATATTCTTCTCTTTTGTAATGAAATGTGGCATTTCATATCTTATGGCATTAATATCATTTAAAAATAATGATCTGTCAATCATTTCAGCATTTCTCTAAAGCAGTGATTATCAAAATGTGATCTCCAGATTAGTAGCATTACCTGGAAACTTGTTGGAAATGCCATTCTCATTTCTCTCTGGGAGTGGGCCAGGGCCCAACAATCAGTATTTAAAAGCCCTCTGTGTGTTTGAGCATGCTTTAAATCTGAGAACCACTGTCTTAAGCTATTCATGTCATCACGATCTACATTTTCTATGGGTTGTTTATATGAAATGATCTCAAGGAAGTGTTATTTTTATTACAGGATAGTAAATAGGTGGGAAACATTTTTAAATATATGGATGGGAAGGTGGAGCAGACATAATTTTCCCTATTCTTCTTACTAAGTACAATTAAAAACCCTTGACATTACATAAACATAATCATAAAAAGACTCAGAAAGATAACAAGAAGGCATACTGACTAGGAGCCTTGAGATTCTAGGAACAATACTGTGGTAAGTTCCCTGAGTTTCCTTATTGTCTCGTGTATATCAGACTTAGAGCTGAGGTAGCCATCAAATCGGAAATGGCAGTCAGTGAATAGAAAAAAAAAAAATAAACCCTTGACATTACATAAACATAATCATAAAAAGACTCAGAAAGATAACAAGAAGGCATACTGACTAGGAGCCTTGAGATTCTAGGAACAATACTGTGGTAAGTTCCCTGAGTTTCCTTATTGTCTCGTGTATATCAGACTTAGAGCTGAGGTAGCCATCAAATCGGAAATGGCAGTCAGTGAATAGAAAAAAAAAAAAACCAATTCAAGCCTGCTCTGTCTAGTCAAAGGAACAGAAAAAAGGCAGTCCAGCAAAACAGAAAACTGATAGACTATAAGCACTCAGGAAACACTGTGGCCCTACCCCAACCCACTCCTGTAAAGGCTGAGTGGGAATCCTAGACTACTATTATATTACTGAATCTATAATGAGGAACACACCCAACCTCCAAACCTCTCAGCTGTGGTATTGTCAGATAAGCCTAAGGAGGAAGCCAAAACTTTCATTCCTAATGGGTGGTAAGAAGTCTCCTTTCTCATACCATAGTGTCAACGGAGATCACATATAGAACCTAGACTTCCATTCCCATCCATGAGAAAAAAGGTGAAGCTCCCCTTCCTGCTGGGAGGCCATCAGTGAAGGTCCAGTGGAGAGTGAGGACATTCACTACTGCCCAGCTCTCAATAAGCCACAGCCTTTCCCTATCATGTAACTAGAGGCCAACCCGGTATCAGTAATGAGGGATATAATAGTAATAGGCATGAAATAGGAAAAGAAGGCATAAAATATCCTTCCCTGCTAGGAAGGCAGAAGCAGAAGCCTATTGGGGAGCTAAAGATTCCACCCAGACCCAACAGTTATGAGGAGTCTCTGTCCTGAGTGTCAACAAAAAACCTGGCTTTACATTCTCAACTGGCAATAACAGGGTGATGCCTTTCCTTTCTTTGCCTGCCAAAATAGTGTCCAAAAAATACAGCTAAAATGGAAAGTTAAATACGACCCACAGTCCTATACTACTCAAAATGTCCATGTCTCAATCAAAAATCACTTATCATATTTAGAACAAAATAGATTTCAAACTGATTGAAAAAGAACAATAAGTAGATGCTAATACTGAGATGAAAGAGATATTAAAATTTTCTGACAAAGGTGTAAAGCAGCCATAATAAAAATGCTTAAATGAGCAATTATGAATATGACTGAAATAAAGATAGGAAGCCCAACTATGAAACAGTCTTGGCAAAGTTTTTAAAACTGAAAAATACAATGATCAAAACAAAAAGCTTAGTGGACAGGATTGATGGCAGAATAGAGAAGACAGAGAAAGAAGTCAACTAGAAAATAAAACAGAAATACCCAATCTGAACAAAAGAGAGAAAATAGACTGAAAAAAAATGAAGAGAGCCTCAAGGACCTGTGGGATGATAACAAAAGATCTAACATTCATGCCACTGGACTTCCTGAAGAGGAGGAGAAAAAGGGCAGAGCTAAAAAAAATGTGCTTGAAATAATTACAGAAAACTTCCCAATTAGTAAGAGACAAAAGCCTACAGATTCAAGTAGCTGAGTGGAACTCAAAATAGAATAAAATAAAACTATCCAGGAAAGAGTACATCATAACTTCTGAGAACTAAACACAAATTAAAACTCTTGAAAGTAGCCAGAAAAAACACTTTACCTAGTGAGCGAAAAACAAATCACATTAAACTACTTATAAGACACCATGAAGGTTAAAAGAATGTGGAACAAGAATTTTCAAGCATTGGAAGAAAAACTGTCAACAAGAATCTTATACTAACAAATACATTCATTTTTATATTTGTTTAAGCAAGACAGTCTTATTCTTGGATGAAGGAAAAATAAGAGATCTATCACCACCAGATCTACACTAAAAACATGACTAAAGTTAAGTTTTCAAAACAGAAATGAAATGGTTGAAAGGAAGAAGGAAAGAAAAAAAAGAAAACAACCAACCAACCAACCTTAGGACAATTAAAAAGGAAGAAAGAATATGGTAAGCAAAAATAAAGGTATATAGAATAGACTTTTCTTCTACACTTGAGAAAATAATTAAATTATGCTTGACAGTTACAGCAGAAGTTAAAACACTGTCGTTTAAAATGTACATGGAAGAAATATTTAAGATAAATATATTATAAATGGGGGAGGGTAATAAGATATAAATGGAGGCAAGGTTTCTTCATTTCCCTCCAACTGATAAAATGAGTTGTGTGTATATAATACAATACTGAGAGCAATCACTAAAAGCTGTACAAAAAGATACATTCAAAATCACTACAGATAAATCAAACTGCAATTCTAAAAAATGTTCAAGAACCCACAGGAAAGTAGGAATAAGAAAAAAGGTAAGTAAAAAACAGAAGGCACAAACACAAAAGAAAGATAAAAAAAGCAGATGTAAGGCCAAACATATCAATAATTACTTTAAATATAAAAGGTATATATCAATAAAAAGAAAGATTCTGGCAGTTTGGTTTAAAAACATGACCCAACCATACACTGTTTACAAGAAACTGGCTACAAGTATAACAGTATAGGTTGCAAGTAGAAGGATGAAAAAAGAAATATGTGAACATTAATCAAAAGAAAGCAGCAGTGACTATATTACTGTCAGATGAATAGACTTCAGAGCAAAAAAAGTACTAGAAACAGAGAGGGATATTATAATGATAAAATGGTCAATTCACCAAGAAGATATGGCAATCTTAAATGTGTAGGCACCAAAACAGCTACAAAATGTGAAGCAAAACTGCTTGAACTCAAAGGACAAACACACAAAAAGCACAATTATAGTTGAAGACTTTAACACTCTTCTTTCAATGATTAGAACTAGACAGAAAATGAGCAAGAATGTAGAAGAACAGGATCTAATCATTTTTGGAACACTCTTGCTATGGACTGAATTGTGTCCCTCCGAAATTCATATGTTGAAGCCCCAACCCCAAATGTGATAGCATTTGGAGAGGGGGCCTTTGGAAGGTAAACTGTTTAAGAATAGGTCATGGGTGGGTGCGTCCCTGAAGATGGGATTAGTATCTCTACAAGAAGAGAACAGAGAGCTTGCTTTTTCTCTCCATCTTTGCCAGGAGAGGATACTGCAGGAAGGTGACCATCTGCAAAGGAGTCCTCACTGAAAATTCGAATTGTTTGGCACCTTGGTCTTAGATTTTCTTGCCTCCAGAATTGTTGAGAAATAAATTCCTGTTGTTTAAGCTATCTAATTTGTCATGGCAGCCTGAGCTAATACAAGTGTTCTACGTAACAAATGCTGAGTACACATTTTTTTCAAGTACCCACCAACATGCCAACTACCCACCAACTGTACTACTGAACATTTATATCAGATAAGTGAAAACTTTTGTTCACACAAAAACATGTAAAAACCTTTGTTTCTGGTTTTGGTTTCCTGTGGTTTACAAGTTATATCAAAGTTTACAAATGACTTACAACTATGTTTTAAGAGTTTTATAGTTGTATAGGCTTTTAATCAATTTCCAGTTAATTTTTGTATATGGCATGCAATGGGAATCCAATTTCATTCTTGATCTTTATACACTGATCATCAATGTATAAGTTTATTTGTGGACCATCAATTCTATTCTTATACCTGTATTTGTTCTTATGCCAGCACCACACTAACTATTGTAGCATACTATTGTACATGTAATAAGCACATTATTACAGCAAATTTTGAAATTGCAAAGTATGAGTACTCCAACTTCGTTCTCTTCTAGGGTTGTTTTGGCTATTCTGGGTCCTGTGCATATCCATATGAATTTTAGGATCAGCTTGTCAATACCTGCAAAAAAGACATTTGGATTTTTGATATAGATTATGTTGAACACAGGATATCTTTCCATTTTTGTATGTCTTCTTTAATTTCTTTCAGTATTTTTT